TTAATGGCAAGCATCTCTTGTTTGATAATTAAATTACTAAAATAGGTGCCCTCTTTATGACTTTGCACATGCCCCGTCTGTTTTATATATATATTTTTTCACACCGATCCATAGCTTTTTTTTTTATTAAAACTTAAAAGGGTCTATCAGTCTATCTCCAATTTATCCGAAGGACAGGATGGAGAATAAAGCGAGAGGCTCCATTTGCTTTGACTTGTGATTACCAGTATATTTGTCAAGGGGAAAGGCAGTTAAAAACAGTTGTTTTTTTATTTTTATTTTATTTTACAGTTTAAAAAAAAAAGTGAAAATTGAAGGGATAGCAAATAGACCTATCCATCAACTGGACTAGCTGTCTATCAGCATATTTGATTTGGATCAGGTAAAATCTTGCATATGAATTTTGGAATTTGAGTCTAGTTCTGTTTGGGAATGTGGGTACATGGAGGATAATTTTTTTTTTAATTTTTATATTATATTTTATATTAATATTTAATAGATATTTTAAATTTATTTATATTTTTATTTTCATAAATTTTTTATTAGTATGAATAATTTTCATACTTGTAATTTTTTTATAAAAATAAATAAAAAATTTATTTTTTAACTTTTTTATTTTATTTTGTGTATTTAAATAATTTTTATAAATATATACTAATATATTTTTAATAAAAAATATATTAATTCTAATTAATTTAAAATAATAATTTATATTATTTAATAAAAAAATTTATTTATCAAATATATATAAATATATATATATATAGAATAAAGATATAAAACGAGTATTATATTATTTGTCTGATAAAAATTTAAAATTATACTTATCTTCATTTTTTTTTTTACAATACTTTGTGTATATATAAAATTCTTCATGAAAATTATTTAATTTTTAGTACTATCCACAATTCTTAAAAATCAATTTATATAACAATTACTACGATTTTATCAATAACTTACAATGTAAATCTATATTCGTACAAAAAAATTTGTTACCACTAGTAATTTGAAATGTAAACAATTAATTTTATATATGTTTGATGTGCTCCGTTTGTGATTCCAATTTGAAGTCTTTAAAGTAATGTTGTGCAAGAGTTAGATGCAAATTAATGAATGATACAGGCTCTAGTTTTTTCAGTGCAAAGAAATTATAATTTTAAAAAATTATAAATATTGATATTTAAATATTAAATCTAATAAACATAATTTTTTTAAAAATAATTATATAAATCAATTAAATTAAATTTTAAATTCATTACATTTCCTAATTATTCATTCTTGTCAATTTTAAAAGGTTTAAACTAAAATAAGATTTGGAATATAGGGTTGGGAAACATAGAGAGGTTGAGATCGTGATATGAGCAGCGGAAGTTTGGTGCCAAAAAGTTGGAACCATTAAAAATGATATCGACTTTAGAGCCAAAACGTGTTATCTATCGTAGATGTAACTTGAGGATATTGACTGATTGAAACCTACAATAAATAAGGGTGAAGTGAAAATTAAGTAGAATAAATCTTAAATTTAGATATATTAATTTTAAATATGATAAAAATTATTATATAAAATCGAACATAAATAAAAATATGAAATAATATAATTTAAAATTTTTAATAAAAATATATAAAATTGTGATAAATATTTTTAAAAATATATTTTTATAGTTAATATATTAATACAAATTTAATATCATAACATTTATATTTTATATGATATAAATAAAATATAAACACATAAAATCTATTTAAGTCCCGTATACAAACTATTTTGTTGTTAAAAAATAGTTTCTACGTTACAAATCTACGGTGTTATCAATGTTTCAGTTTTTGGTTGGCCCATATTATGATTGAAATGACCAAAACCGTGCGAGAAAACTGTACATGTCGGTGAAACATTGCAAGTTTGCAATGTCGGCATTTTCGTGTTTTTCTTTTTTTTTGAGAATTTTTTTTATCTTTGATAATTATTTTATATTTTTATTAATTGGAAATTAAATTAGATCAGATTTTATAAAAAAAATAACTTTTTTAAATTTAAATTTTTATTTATAAAATTTAAAATTGAGATTTTATTTTTAATAAATTTAAATTTTTTATCGTTCAAATCAACAAACGATGATGTATTTTCGTGTTTTTAATTTTATAATTTTATCAATAAAATAAAAATGAATCGGGAAGAAAAGATGGTATACAGCACATGGTGCTCACTTTTGTCCAGGCCGCGCAGCTTTGGGTCACGTGCTTTGCTCAGTCTCAACACATGCAAAGGGCCAAAATTTTTTTTTTTTAAACTTTAATGAATAATTATCAATCCATTTTTAAAAATTATATATTTTTTTATTTCTGGACAGTTCTACTTTTCTTTACTTCCCTGTCAAAAGTGGGTCCCTTTATCCACAACAACTTAACAAACTCAGCCCTTGCTCATCAATGCAATCCACCGTTCTTATAAAAAAAATTATTAAACTAATTTTTAAAATTTTTTTAATAAAAAAAGTACAATTTAACTGTTTAATAATAAGAAATCGTTACATTTAAATCTAAATTTATTGAATTCAATAAATTAAAATTATTATATGAATAAATTGAATTAAAATTTGATTTTTTTCAGGTTTTAGCTCTAAATTCAATTACTCTTTGGTGCCAATTTTATTGCTTCAATTTATGATTATTTTCATATAATAATTAGAATTAATATTCTTTTAATAAAATACCTAAAATATTTTTCTTAATTTGTGTTCAATTCATGAAAATTTTGATGAAAAACTTTCAAATAAAATGAGAAAAAAAAGGAATTGATTACCATTCTTAATTTGTTATCATTAGTCCAAGATGAGTAAGTTTTAATTTTCTTTTCACTCATATTATTTATGGATCAAACTAAGTTTTTAATAATTAAGAATGAAAATTTTGTGACTTAAGATCTCTTCTTTTCTTTTCTTTTTTTTTTTTTTTTTAATTTCAGGCTAGACATTAGATATGAGAGATTTTACTAGCAATTGAAGATTCAACTTTTTCTCAACCACAAATTTAAGTTCAACTTGCATTTATTTTATGTCTCTATTATTTCACAACCATTAATAAAAATTACTCTGTAGTTGTAAATTCTTAATGCAATGTAACCATTGCAAGTATTGCTATTTCATCCAAGTTTTTTTTTTTTTTGGTCTCATTTGTTGTAGTAGCAAAGTTATATCTTCAAGAGTGATTAGAATCTGAATATTTGATTTAGTGACTAATACATTTTTTTATTCAAAGAACATGATTTAAATTTTTTATAAAAAAAGTCAAGATCTATGAAAAATTATGAGAAGTTTGAGAAAAGAAATTTACATTTCATCAAAGTATTTTTGTCTCATTAGTAGTATCGCATAATCATTGACTATTTGATTAACGATTAATACATGCTTTTTCTATTCAAAGAAAATGATTTGAATTTTTTTTTTTATAAAAAAGGTCAAGGTTTAAGAGAAATTGGAAGGAGAAATTTTTAAGTTTTGGGATAAAATCTTAATTTTACAAGAATCTATATCTTAAGGTAGATGAATTATCTTCAACTTTTTGATTTAGTGATCAAGTAAGCTTTAAGAAGACATCAAAGGTTGGGTTTGATCCCAACCTTCCCCTTTCTCTTGTTGTAGGATTTTGTTTCCTTTGAAACCAAAAAAAAAAAAGGTAGATGAATCATTTAAATCGAATATCAAGTTCATGACATGAACTCTTCTTTCCTTTAATCAAATTGAAAACTTTAAGAGTAATTGAATAATAATGCATCTAATAATCAGTCACTTGTGGAATCAAAATATCTTTTTTTTTTTTTTTTTTCTTATGCAATATACAAAACTAGAAAAAGCAACAGCATATTTTTCATGAGAAATGAGAGTGAGTAATTAGAAAGGTGTGAGGAAAGAAATGACACTAATTCATGAACTGGCTCCCATTCCCTCCATTGCATTTGACTCCAAAGCAAAATAAATCATGACAAAGAAAAAATTTCACCACACAAATGGATGATACAGTTGCCTTTTAGTCTCCATATTCATGAATATAACCCTATAATTTTAGTAGATCGTTGATAAAGGGAATCTATTTTGTCCCCACTCATCCTCATCCTACTTCAAAATAGATAGGGAATAAACCTTTTTTCACATGAAATTAGACATAAAGAGATCCTTTCTTGTACTATAAAAGAAGGGAATTTTTTTTTTTTGCAATTAGATCCATAAATATACCTGAGAAATTTCCGGTACTTAATTGTATGAAATTGACAATAATGCCTTGAAAACTTTGATTTTTTTTTTAAAATTCGGAGTTTATTTGTTGATTTAATGTATTTATTTTTTAAAAATATATTCAATAGGTATAAATTTAAATCTTAATATTTACAATTAATTTTTTTATCTTCAAATTACAATCTTATTTGTATAAAAAAAATTTCGACCAATTTTACCAAAAAACTTTTTTCCTGAATCATTTATATTTTCTTTCTTTTTTTTTTCAAAAAAATTACACAAATACGATTCACATTATTATTAGTGAAGTTATTATTATTGTATACATTATGATTTTTAAAAAATACACATTAGCTTTTTTTTTTACATCTCAGCAATCAGAACATAAAATTTTAAATAAAATTATCATATTGGATCTTGAAATTTGAAAAAAATTGGAGCTTATAGGACAAGAGGGAGTTACTTATCTTGGTATAACCCAAACTCAATTGAATTGCGCATACAAAAATATAATAATTCTATTATTCAATTAGTATTTGTATATGCATATGTCAAAATGTAGATTAATTTGTGAAATTTTTATATGGAATTCACCAATTACATTATTCTCAACTGCAAGTCTGCAACGGGACTGCTAGAGAAGGAGATTTTAGATTTGAGAATAAAAAGAAACATTGTTCTTGATTGAGAATCACTACAATTTAACCTTTATGGATAGGTGTCATCCAAATCATGGCAAAGAACATATTTGTAATCTGTATGAGTAGGTACATGTGAAACTTCCCTTCCCAATCCAAGTCCTAGACTTCTTTCTTCTCATCAAATTATCTATTTATACCCCCCACCAAAAACCAGCTTCTCCAACCAAACCCCTCTTCCTTCTTTACTTCACATTTCTCTTTCACTCTTTATTTTCCAATTTTTTTTTTTTTAACAATTTAGGAGGGGTTTGGTTTTTAGCAAAGGTCATGGCTAAACTTATTGCTGCCTTCTTCTTGGCTCTCATTGCCATTTCCATGCTTCAAACTATGGTGGGTATCTTTTCTCTCTCGTTACATGGAAATATTGAAAGCAAAATTGCTAGAAAAGGAGCAAAAAGAACAGCAGTAAATTGCAATTTCCAGGGACTGACATATTTTTACTTTGGTTTTTCTTCATTTTAGGTGATGGCATCACATGGACATGGAGGTCATCACTATGATCAAGTAATGCTACATCGTTTATCTCTTATTAAAGCCTTTATTTATTTATTTTTTTAGCTTTTGACAAGAAGTTAATTCTCACATTCTGATTTTTTTCTGGTTAATTTCTATGATCTGCAGAAACATTATGGCCCTGGAAGCCTGAAAAGCTATCGTAAGCAAACTCTTGACTCTCACATTTTCCATTTGTTTTTCTTACCTAGCTGAAAGATCTGAACATGGAATCTGAATATTGTCAAAAACCAGATGAAACCATGGTCAAACTCTTTGGAACTACAAATACTTTTTTTCAACTTACATAAATATCTCTTTATCCTTTCTCGAATTTGACAAGTTACCAGAACTTTTAACTTGTTTTTGGCTGAATGAAATTACCAGAATGTCCATCACAGTGCACGAGGAGGTGCAGCAAGACCCAATACCATAAAGCATGCATGTTCTTCTGTCAGAAATGCTGCAAGAAATGTCTGTGTGTGCCTCCAGGGTATTATGGGAACAAAGCTGTGTGCCCTTGCTACAACAACTGGAAGACCAAGGAAGGAGGACCCAAGTGCCCTTGAACTTGAAGAATCCCTTATATCCCTCTTTCCTACTTAAAATCAAGTTCCTTAATCATAATTAAGCAGTATATTGCTCTACTGCTAACTATATATTTATGTTGTTACTAATATACGCGTTTTGGAAACGTGCTGGTTTTACCCATCCTGCAAATGAGAGTGGCTAATCTTTGTTCCGTTTATCAATGAAGGTGTTATTTGACTAATCTAAGATTTTTTCTTTCTTTCTTTCGAAGTAAATTTGAAGATTGGATTACTTGTGAATTTATCGAGGTACAAACAACATTCACAAAAAGGGCAGTCATGGTCAAGGGACTGAAGCAAATTATGTTGAAAAAAAAAAAAAAACCCTGCAAACCCATTTCAACTGACCCAGGATTGGTGGGGGTAACTGGTGTTGCAGGCTTTCCATGCTGTGCCATTTTACATCTTTGAATTAAGACCAAAAAAAAAATGAAAAAATTTACAGCTTTGATAGACAAAATGCAAAAGGTTTCTGAATTCTCTGCCCAACGTTTTCCCAGAATTAAAGGCAGAGGCATTCACGTCATTGTGCTATCATTTATGTTTGCCTCTCGGAGCATTTGAGTAGTAATTGTTTCCATGGATGTAGAGCATTTGAGATCTGGATCTAAGTTTTCCTTCACTTGTTCACATCATACAAATCCTTAAGAAAAGGCAATTCAAAGGACTGAAAGGGGGGCCCTTGCAACAAGTCAAACAACCCAGGTCTAATCGCCACATTTGAGCTTGTCTATGAGTCCATAGTCCCACACTTCAACTGTGAATTGCTTTTTTTAATAAAGCACTTGCATGATGTAGCTTTCTAAAGCTACAATATCATGATTATTTCTCCATTTGTGGGGCTCATGATTTTTCAACTTTTTTACCATTTGGAACAGAAACGCTCCATCTCTTTGTGAAATTCCCCTTCACGTTCTTCGTTCCTACATGAGCTTAAGCTATGCTAAAATGCAAATGTAGATATTTGTTTTTCCATGTTACTCACCCATTAATTTGCGAGCCTGCGTTAATTGATTCACTTTGTTAGTAAGAGATATTGAGTATAAGCAAGCATCCGGAATATAAGCCCTTTTGTGGACATGTAGGAAAATTGAACCTTTGCTTCTTGGCCAAAGGGTTGGAGCAACTTATCAGCCCTCGATTTTGTTTTTTAGCAAAACACCATTCCTTAAAAGAACCCCAAAGTCTTTTGATTCGGCGATTATATATCTTTGTCTCTAGAGAGTGAGAAAAGCTGAAGCCTATAGGTATAAAATTCAATGTTCTCATTCATTTCCAGACCTTGCCTGTAGCACCCTGCTTTTTGAAAGAAAACTACAATTAATTTGAAGTCCTTGATTCTTTGGTCTAACAGTTACGTACTTAGCTAGCCAATATTCGAGGTTGGAGTTTAGGTTCAGTTCTTCGTAATCATTTTTAAAAGTGACATTAAGCAATTTTAGAATTTAAATCTTAATAATTACGATTCCCTCTTCTATTCTCAAGATACAGCATCCTCTATAACCCCCCCCCCCCCCCCCAAAAAAAAAAAAACAAAAAAAAAAGTTAGCCAATAGCATTTATTTCAAAATAAGAAAAAAGGGGGGGGGGAGGGGTATTAAAATGAAGGTGGCTCGGTGCTTGTGCACAAGTTACTATGAATCCTTTAAAGTTTAAACAGGTCCAGCCGCATTGATTGCTGCAACACTATATTTATCTAGATATAAACATCCATTGGAGCAAAGACACAGTTTTTTCAAAGTCTACACTCTACACGAGCAATTAGGACAATGCTAGATAAGATAAGAAGTAAAATTGTCATAGCAGATACATTAAGATTCAATAACAGCTTGTCTACCGCCAAATCCGGCAGCTTATAATAGTGTAATATTTTAGAACTGTTGAGTCATATTTTGAGGTGTGGATGCTGCATCAAGCTGATGACTATTCCTGGTATTTTCCCCTGAGTTTATCCCAATTGCTATCTCTGCCCTGGCTAGCCCTCCAGTTTCCTAATTCACATAATTATTTATAGAAATCAGAAACCATATCAAGGAAACAAATTCTGGTGAATGTAAAGGATGTGCTGTCATGAGAGATGAACCAACATAGGTCTGCTTGCGGCTGTTCCAGTAACTGACAGCAAAAGATGTGATATAACAAGGTAGCAGCAGTCCCAAGATGAGCTGTTGAGTCCTCAAAATGTGGCTAAGTTAGTATAATTGGATAAAATTAATTTAGAAAATAAACATGAAGCCCTTAAAATGTATATTCAGAGAAGCAACTCTGAATTTCTGTCTTACGTATAAGTTTTCGGAAGATTCGTCACTGTCACCAGGCAGATCAGTAAAGAATGTGAGATGCTTTAAGAGGAGAAGTGTTAAGAACTGCATGCCAGGAAGCAAATATGTAATGTTGATCTTGCATATTCCAAAATAGCTGAGCTCAATGTATTTGATCATACCCATACACATTTGCTGATAGTAGAAGAATACATACCGTTGAATTACAGCAGAACAAGATCACCTCATGCCTTGGAAGTAAAGAGTAATTAATCAAGAAGCTGAATGTAGCTTGATCAATTTCTTTTCAATTTTACTATTCATTTTGCAAATATAGATGCATTTTCTATAATGTTGATGCTGGTACCATTAGCAGTTGTAGTAGCCAGTTTTAGTTCTGATAGTTTTGTTGTAAGTTGAATTATGACCATAAAAAACTTACAATTAAAATTGATTTTCCCCATGTGGTTGCTCCATTCGCATTCTCATTCTCATTCTCATCATGAGTTTCATTGTTGCATTCATCAAATTCAGCCTCCAAAAGGTGCTCTACTTCTTCTGAAGTAAGCTCAGTTGATTGAAGTTCTCTTGGAATACCTGGAACTGTCAAGCCCTCACTATAAAAGGAAATTCCAAAGATGGTGTTAAAAGAAACCATGAAATCTCATTAGATTGAAAAATTATAGTAAAAAGAGATTATAGAACTATAGAACATGCCTTAAGTTACCCAGGATATTTCCTGTGTGGCACGGTTCGGTTAAGATGAGAGGAACTGTGTAACCAGGTTCATACCTCTGCTCAAAATAAGATATGTATATACAGCTCATTCATATATATAGCTAATTATTGAATCAAAGAAACAACTAAATTGGAAGTCAATAGGGAAGTGTTAAAAAGCACCTGATGGCAGATTTCACAAACTTTGTTTCCTTTCTCATTGCACCATATCTGAATGCATTTTCTATGGGCAAACTGGGGGAGGTGAAGAAAAACAGAAAACAGAAAGGTAAAGAATGTTTGAGTATGATCAAAACTATAACCTGAACAAGATCAATGTGACTTTGGATTTATATGAACACTTGGAAAACATTTTTGTAATTTGTTCCTTCAATACAAGAAAAAAGACTCTGTCATTTAACAAATTTGAAGCGTTTTTATGTTGTCAAGTATCTCTAACTTTGGTCTCTTCACAATCCCCTTGCAGAACGTAATATGCAATATAAAGAAACGGCTGGTTTTTGAGATGTGCAAACATTTAATTGAAAATCTTATCCTAACCATTTAAGGCAAGATATTATATGATTATAATATCGATAATCATATAACTTGATCTTATTAAAATGATCAGGAATGCCAAACTTCGGGTTTGATGTAAGGAATATGAAAATGTAGGCTATATATAATTAAATTACCTTGATAGTTCCCTTGCAAGCACAAGGAGCTTCCAACTTAGTGATGAAGTCCAAATCATGGCAAATCCGGCATTGGGTTTTCCCACCAAATTCTTCTTCTTCATCAAAGAACTCAAATTCATCCTTGTTCCAACCATTACTCGCCCGAAACCAGGGCATCCTGTTAGGTTGCTTGGTCGGCATCGACGAGCCTTCACCACCACTATATGGCTCTCCAATGTATGGCCCTTGCCTGGATCCTAATAAAGCTGGATCTAAAGATGTCACCAGCACAAGTTTTCCACTCATTCTTTCAACCTACAGCTGTTTCCAATCCTAATTTTCTTAGTAAACAAACAGCAGAACAATGTCAAAGATTATAAAACACCCAGAGGTTCATATCATCAAACTTCTTTTTCTTTTGCCTTTTTGGGGTTCACGTTCAATATTACCTATTTTTTTCACCTATCAATCAAAAAATTCAATCCGAAAGGCCAGAAATTAATGACAACCCTACAAGTAGCTGTACTTCTTACTATATATAAACTCTCCCCATGGAAAGAATAACATCCATGTTTCACATAATCATGAAAATGAATAAACAATTTCACAATCAACCAACCTATCAAGGCACCAAAAAATGACACAAAATGTCAGTATAAAAAGGTCAAAAAATTACAAACAGAAATAAAATCACATGTATGATATAGTATACCTAAACTTTCTTCTTCCTCTTCTTCAATCTGTATTTTGTTCTTTGATTGGCTTGAAATATAGACTGATCATCAAAGAAAATTAAAAGTCCTAGCAAGCTAGGCATGCCAAAACCCATTGCTTGAGAGGGCAGTGGCAGCACGAAACATGAGTTACACCATTCGTCAATGGAAAGTAGATTAAAAAAAACATGAAGCCTTTTGTGAGATTTGGAACCGTAATAAGGCAGTTTCTGCCACGTTACTGCCCTGTTTATGGATTCTTGTTTTCTTACGTTCTTGTTCTTACTAATGGCGGTTATAAAGTGTAGACATCAAATTTGTTCGATTTTTAGTCAAGTCTCGTTCTAAAGTTCGTCGTGTGTATTGAGTTTTCAAGTCCAGGCTTGATTTCGATTTGATTAAGCCCCAAGCCCAATTTTGGCTCAACTGGGCTCCAAGCCCAACTTGATTCAATCAAGCCCGAAGCCCATCTCATTCTTTAAGCTCAAAACATATTCATATTTTATTTTATTTTTTTACTTTAATATTTATTAATTAAACAAAAAATACAATTAATAATAAAAAAAGAGAAAAAAAACAGAGGGCTAGTGTATAGCGCCGCTGTCGCCTCTATCTAGCCCACTGCCTAATCCCATCAGATCTAGCCACCCCTATCTAGTTCTATCAGATCAGCCGCCCCTCACCAGCCAACCTATAGCCTACCTTACAGCCACCACCTATTCCACCTTGCACCACTGCCCAGCCTTATAAAGCACTCAACCTCTCCTCCTTTCATCTCTCTCGAACACATTTCCAGCTACCTTAAAACGCCAAACTCCCACACCCAAAAGCCTAAAACCTTTCCTAGGAACCCAAACACTCCATCCACCAAAAATCAAAAAAACCAAAAAACACCAGAACAGTCCAAACAAACAAAAAACCAACAACACTGTTTTCCTTGTAGGGAGAAACCTCAGTGCCAAAGCCATCCTGCAACAAAAGAAGAGAAATCATTAGTTTAAGTTTCAAAAAAAAAAAAAGAAAAAAGAAAAAAAAGAATCTAGAAACCTCAAAGCCCGATTTGCTACTATCGAAGCTGTTTATGACAAAAAGGAGACCGGATTTGGAAAAAGGACATCGAGGAGAATTTTTAGAGGTTTTTTGACATTTTTCGATCATGGAAACCACCGACGATCACTGGTGGCGACTTTAAACGACGGCTGACATGACGGCACAACTCTGATTTCTAGCAAAGCCCGAAAAGATTTTTAAAGGCTAAGGACTTTTTTTTTTCGGAAGGGTGGAAGAAATGAGCTAAAAAAATAGGCCATTTATAAGGAAACAAAGAAGCAAAACGACTTTGTATAGAGCATGGAGGATCTGTGCGTGCCCATTACTTGACTCAAGATTTGCGCAAACTGACCCACCAACCCACCTCAGCCAACCTTCAACTGGTCCAGACGAATCGCAGTGAACCAATTTGAACGGGTTTGGACCCTTGCAAATAGAACTGACTAGACTGACCGTTGACCGATCTGGTTCAGGTAAAAAAAAAATTTTTTCAAAATTTTTTTATTTTTATATATTATTTATTTATATCATTTTTAACATTATTATTATTATTATTATTATTATTATTATTATTATTATTATTATTATTATTATTATTATTTATGCATACTTTAAAACTTTTAGAGTTTATTAAATAAGTACTTTTTATTTTATAATAATAATTAACAATAATAATAATAATTAAATGACAATAACAATAATAAAAATTCAAATAATTTTTAAAACTTTTAATTCCTTTTAATGTTTTTTTAATAATCCAAATATTAAATAAAAAATAATAAAATATGCATAAAATGATAGAATAATATAAAAAAAAAGTTTTCATTGCCTAGATATTGGAGGAAATACAATCGTACTTTAAATAATGATAATTCTGCCTAAATATTAGAAAATTATTATTAAAAATATTAAATAATATTAAAACTAAACAAATTAATATTAACTTTTCATAATAAAAATTTATTTTCTTGAAAATCATAAAAATCGAACTTACTCCGAAAATCTGCCAGATGTTGGAGATTTTTAGGGATGTTTACTTTTTCTTAAAATTTAAAAATAAAAACCCTAACCTAAGATCAAAACGCCTAAAACCAAACCCTAAAACTTTTAAGCCCTACACTGAAACCCTAAATCCTCTAAACCCTAAACCTAAAATCCCAAACCTCAAATCCTAAAACCAAAACGCCAAACCTCAAAGCCTAAATTCAACAAACTAAACTCTAAAATCTAAACTCGAAACCCTAACCCTAAAATTCAAAACTTAAAAGTTCAAATCCAAAAATCCTAAATTTGGTACGCAACTCCGAATCACCACCTAAAAATCATGCAAGCCTTAAAACCTCAACCTAAAACTATACCCTAGATCTATTTCAAAACTTTAGGGATACGTGTGAAAATCTCACATGAATTGATTTATTTTCGAATGTCGCTTAGATGATGGGGTATTTAGAAAACTTTATTTTATTAAGTTGTTCATACGAATCCCTAATTTACATTAATAGTGGGATTAATAAATAAAAAGGTATAACAATAAAATATGATTTTAAATATAAACAGTCGCACTTAAACTCTGTCTAGATGTTGAAGAGTCAAGATTGTCTCATTATACTTAAGAGCCTAACTTTAAAATTGCATTTCATCTTACATAACATTCATTAGCATACATACATTAGCATGTTATTGTTGGCAATTGTTTGCATTCTTTTGTCTTCAATTTTCATTTACTATTTGATGATAAAATGTTTATCATAAAAAAGGGACAATGCATTTAAAAAAAATTTTTTTTGGTGATATTATAAAATAAAACAAAAATAACATTTCAAAGGAAATAATTCTTAGTGCTTTGCCTAGATGTTAGAGAGTCATCAATAATTATATTCTATAAAGAGTGTTATTTCATTTTAAAGATTGCTGTGATAAATCTTAAGCGAAAATAGTTATTTTAAATTTTGCCTAGATATTAAAAAATTTTAAGATAATAATTTAACTTAAAGATTTTTTCAATATTCCTAAATAAAGAGTTTTATCAAAATTTTATTTTTTAAGACGAAAGGGATTGTTATTAAATTTCAAAATAAAACTATTTCATCCAAATTAAAAATAGCACATAATTAATTGGTACCAATTTATGGACGTTACGTGGGTGCTAATCATTCCTCACGTGTAACCGACTGCTGGACCCAACCTAATTTTCGTAGACTGAAATTTATCTTTTTGATAAACTTTAAACCCACTTTATAGTTTTATTAAAAAGATAATCTTTCGGGTGACCAATCACACCCTAAAAAAAATTGGTAGTGATTCCCTCATTTTTTTTCAATTTTAAAATTTTTTACGTCTGATGGTCCTAAAATTGTTACAATAGCTTGGTGACTCTGCTGGAGATTAGTTGAGAGTTGGCCAAGATTTTAATTATGCACTATTGACAATGGTTGGATTTAATTGGTTTTATTTGATATTTAATTTAATTCTTTTATTTTATTTTTCAAAAACATAGAAGTTAATGAATAAAATAATTTGTATGTTAGTTATTACTTTATTTGGGTTTTGTGTTATGATTTATTTATGTTATGTTGATTAATACATCACTTTGCACGTATTTTGTATATTCATTCGCATGCATGAGCTATAGACCTGGCTCTATTCCTTTTAGGAGGAAGTGAAATAGCTACGCTCTTGTGAGGTAATAACCTTTGCATTTGCTAGTGAAACACTTCACTCAGATTGAACCCTTTTGTTAATAGCCTATAAGGGGTGAGATCGAGAGCCTTACTACTCTATGATGGACGATGATGTGAGAAATGTCTGGGAACCTTTATACACATAAATCTTAAATCGACATATAGTGAGTCGTAAGGCCCAACCTTAGGATAGAGCCATACTGTCCCTTTTATGAGAAAATTACCTAAAATTAAGACACTATGTGTATTCTATTATGTCATATATTATACTTGTTTTTTTATTTACTCATTTATTTATTTATTTGTTTTATTTACCTTATTGACTTGTTTAATTCTTTTGTTGTCTTTAATTTTGCTGTATGCATCATATATGTACCATATTTCTTAAAAAGGTATTGTTTGGGGTCAATATTCTATAAAAGAAACTTTCATAAAGCCTACAGAGGTATCATCTATGTGTAAGAGCTACTTAGAAGTTAAAAGCTAATTAAAAAGTACTTAGGAGAAATAAGAAGATTGTTTAGTAGATGGTCATATCCCATCGCTACCGACGTTAGTGCATGTGGATCTCAATCAAAATGAAACATCAAAATTGGAGGCTATTTGGAAACAATAGGGAACAAAAAGAAAGGAATTATTTTCCAAGAACTATGAGGATATGGCATTACTCATGTCGGTAAAGATTGATGAACAACTGATTAGAGCAGCAGTACAATTTTAAGATCTATCTTACCGATGCTTTGTGTTTAACCAAGAAGATTTGGCCCTTACAATTGAAGAATATTCATCTTTACTTTAGATAGAGTTTGTCAATCAAGACAAGATCTATTAGAAGAAACAAAAAATCACTGGATATAGAAAGAAGTTAGCCAAGATCATGTAAGTAGGAGTTGAGGAGATAGACAAGCACAAAAAGAAAAAAAACAAGGTTGGGACTATTCCATCAGCTTTTCTATTTGAGTATATAAAAAAATATATTGATACTGATTAGGAGTTAGATATGTTTGCTTTGGCCATTTATGGATTGATGATATTCCCTAAGGTGTTAGAACATATAGAAGTATCAATGGTTAACTTTTTTGAGCAATTAGCTAAAGGTATAAACCCTTTACCAACTATTTTTGGTAAAGACTGTTAGATCACTTAATTTTTATTGAAAAAAGGGTGAGAAGTGATTTATAAGGTGTGCTTAGTTACTTTTTGTTTGGCTCAGAAGTCAATTTTAGAGAAAAGAAAAGATATCATTTCAACCATTCTCCGTTCATTTCGTTTTCATAAAAGAGTTTGTTGCCAAAGAATTGAGAAGAGATTAGATAAAAAGTCAATGGATGTCATTCTTTCTAAAACTCACTAGTGAAGATATAACATGAAGAGCACCATGGATGCTTTCTATGGCCATTTCGTATAGTTGTAGAGACGAGTCATGGGTACCCTTGTTAAGAATATGAAGGGTAATGAGTTATGTACCTCTTATGGTTCAAAGACAATATGACTCACGACAGTTCATCCCTATGACTCATAGACTGAGTTCATTCAAGTTTG